GGATTAATTCAGTCGAGCGCTTTTTTAATTATCATACTGTCTAATACAGCTTGTAGAGAAACTGTTAAATCTAGCGATATGCATGATTTCCTAATCATGTATATCGCTAGATTTAACAGTGCCTGCTTTTTTACATATTGAATCTGAACAACAGTTTTTAGTTGATTGTCCGTAAGAGTCCTTTTCTTTTACAAGCATATGTACACGTATGTTTATTTGTGTATTATTTTATTTTGTATCATAATCTGACCTAGATGACCTTATTTTGCATTTAATTTTTATAGGCTATGCTTGTGTTACTTTTGGGAGCAGCGTGTCTTGTGCCACACTGTGACGACGAATACTGTTGTCAGTTGCTTAATAATTTCGCACGAAGCTTCGATTCTTCTTTGCAATTCTTGGATGGACCACCACCATTCTAAATACATGCGATTAATCAGTGATACCTGACGTTTATACAAGTATATAATTTTGAACATTCTGAGAATTCCCTTGTTAAGTTTACAATGATATGCTAAAACCCAAATAACTTGTTCGTTACCTGTTGACTTGTAATTCCAATTTGTATACTTCACTGTAAAAGAACTTGAGAAAAACAGAAGTTCTGTCACTTGCCCAGAATAAATGTGGGGTATTGTTGCCTACACAAATTTTCAAATAGATTTTTGGACCATCGGAATCGAATTTCCAACTTTGTCTCGAATGCATGTAATTTATTGCATATCTTAAATTTGCTACGAGGCTTTTTGATTCCGAGATTTTCAGAAATGTTTGATGCTCTGACTGCTTTTTCTAGTTTGAAAATGAAATTTTTACAATACGCTGAACTCAGCTTATTAACAATACATTAAAATTAACGGTGGTAAGATTAAGGTTTACCTTGACTTTGGTGAAGGCCACATAATCTACTGCGTTTATTAATGCTTGCAAGCGCAAAGACATAAGTACATTTGAACAGAAACTGAAAGGACTAGATGTGCAGCGAAAAAGGGTATTAGAATGAACGAATTCGAGATAACATAAATTTTTACATAAGTTTTTATTACAAGGCTGAAATAATTTAACTAGATTCTAAATGTGCGGTATTTGCAGTCTTCTTCGCTAATGGTTCTTGCTTACAAAAAATCCGATCGAAAAATTGTCCGGAGTTAAGCATTACAGAGAGAAAAGTTGAGGTTTTGTGAGCGCTGCTTGAAAAAGACTGTACAAAACAACAAAAAGCAGCTTCGGGATTTTCCCATCTCATGAAAAGTAAAAGAAGGGGCATGAGAATTTGCATAGCTGTAGCAGATTCTCAAATCGTTAAAAAATCTTGTAAAATAGTACTGGAAAGTGCTTGAGAAAAATTGCGAAAGCTCCAATGTCTTGAACGAAAGGAGATGAATACATCCTTAACAATAGTATGCTACAACGCTAAATCAAATCGTGCTTCCAAACATAAGACATTAACAATCTCATAATGTGATGTCTCCAAGACATGGAGTTTTCCGTAAAACAGAAATGTCTAACATTAATATTCATGGATGATTCATCTCAAATGAAAGCAAATTCAATTTCAAGAAATTTACGAAACATGGGGTAATATGTTCATGCAGTACAAATATCACACAAAGAAGTAAAAGGCACAGAAATAAGTTCAATACTTTCCAAATCACCGGTTTTAGACAACATTACCATTAATAATGCTATTTTTTGTTAATAATTAAATTTTCTAAGGCAAAATCATGATGCATTTAAGATTTGCTAGCGCGCTTAGGGCGCTCAATTTCGAGTTTGTGTATAATGATCGCTGTTTCCAAATCCAAACAATTAAAAAGTGAACGAAGTTCTAACAAATGCGCTCTATCGTAACGTTTGATGTCTTCAGCCACTGGATTATTAGCAGTACTTGAGTTAGCGCCAATAAGTTGAGCCAAATTTGGAGTACTTCCAGTTTTACCCGACGAACGCCACTGCACATTATTATTACAAACTGGTGCAACATCGCAGCTGAAAATATCAATCATTAGTGAAATAAGTTACTTTCAGTCCTTGTAAATTTACAAAAGTGGTATTTTTCACTAAATTATAACATTTATACAACCTGATAGTTATTCACGCTTTGTGATCGACCAGCCAACAATTCAACCGCTCGGCAGCTTGGCCGAGCGGTTGAATTGTTAAATAACATCTGAAAGTGTTGACCTGATTACACTTGAAGCAGTGAACCAATCGGCGAGTGAATATGCTACACAGATTCCCACCATATCAATGACCAATAATTGCAAGGCAGCTCTATGTAGCACAACAATGTTATGAAGATGTGACAACCCGAGAGAAAATGGACGGAAGTCAAGCACAGAAAAAAAGGTGAGCTCGTTAAATTTTCACAAAACCCTCATAGAACGCACATTGGTCGGTGAAAAACTTGGAGGTAAAGATTTAAAGGAGGTCAAGATCGTAAGCGTGACTGTCATGAAGCGTTAAGCATATTGACAGACCGTGTGAGGGTTTACAAAAAATCAAAGGTTATGAGATTCAATGTGCATTCAAAATCCAAAACGCCAGATTCCGGCGGTTCAGAAGACGGTTCTATAGAAATATGATCGAAGAACAGCCCGTAAGCCACAATATAAGGATTGAGGAAATCAACGATTTTTGGGGAACGATGAGGACATTCTTCCAGAATTTATCATACTTTATCATTCCAACGAATATCTCGAAGAATTGTTCCAGGTGATGTAGTGCATCATACTTTTCTCTCTGAAGATGAATTTGGGAAGAGAGTCTCCTATCTGCCTAACTGGAAAGCGGTAGGGCCTGATGGAGACTATAACATCTTAACTAAAAAATGCACCTCCTTGTATCTAGATCTGTACAAAATAGTATGAAGGATTTTCCTGAAAGGGGAGCAGCACGATCCGTAGTTTTACAGAGGAACCATCTACCTAATTCCAAAAGGTATCTCAAGTGAAGACAGCGACTTTATAACTTGTAAGTCGAATCTTAAACAAATTGACAAGGAAACGTGTGACACGTGTTATGCAACTGAATGTTGCTATAATGAGACGACTATTAGCACACAACCAATTGAGAATTTCTGCGCAGATTCAATCTGCTAAAGAGCAGGAACTGTTAAACCTGGCTATAAGCGGAGAGCACGGGAACCAGCTCTAAACTAGGTAGTACGACATTAAAAAGTGCTCGATTCAGTTGAACACGAAAACATAAGTAAGTGCTTTGAAAGGCTTAACAGGCCATTATGGATTAGCAGGTTTCTGAGAAACATTACATCCAGATGAGCAGTTGTACTAAAAAATAGTGTAGAAACTAAGAAAACATGGAGTTGAGTCGTCTGATCAATATAAGATTCCAAAGGGTGGCATCATAATAGCTACAACTGATCAAGGAACATACATAACGGATCAGTTTTTGCTTTGCGCATGATCTCAAGACGAAGATATCATGAAATCTATAGCCAAAGAAGTTGAAAAGCTTCTTGATGTAGTAAAACTAGAAGTAAATTCAGCAAAGTCAGCCGAGGATGCGCTGATAAAGCAGCGCTATTGGAAGGAACTCAAGGATATAAGTACCTTGGAAGAATGAAAAGAAGATTAGTAGTGCATCGAGCGTGAAAGCTACGATAAAGGCCGAGCAGAGATTTCAGTGAAAATTGAGCGATTAGCTAAAACTGCACTAGGTAGCAAGAATTTTATCAAGGTGGTGAATAAGCAAGCCACAGATATAATAAACTATTATAATGAGGAGCTAAAAAGCCCGTATGAGGACTGTGGATTATTTGGAAACGCAGTGTGAGTAAATGCTGTCCTACGACTACAC